GAAGAAATTGTCAAGATGTACTTTGCTTCGTTATGAACAATTTTGCTCGATTAATAAGCAAACATGTAGGCGACTTGGATTGGATGTCATCATAGTATATTCTATCTTGAACGGAAAGCCCTCTTATTTGAAATGCCAATGCAACCAACACTGCATTTTGGATGAAAATCATTACTCGATGATCTATATGCTTATGGTTAATTATCAAAAAAAAAACTTAGTTTCGTCATAATTAAATTATTTGTACACTGTTCGTGAATGTAAGAAGAGAGTTTTCAGCCAACTAACTAGAAGTCTTCTCGTAAGATATAGATACTAGTCACAGGCAAGGACGTATATTCTTTTTAAACAAATGCATTTGAATTATAAAGTATTCAAATTACATAAATCAATTTGTTTTCCTTCTAAGGCTTGCCGAATACAATGATGGTCAAAAGATTGCCGAGTAACTGATTCTAGCAATACTACTGCATGTAAGCAAGGTTGCTCATAACATTAGCAAGTACTTTGCAAATTCAATACAATAACAAAAAAGATGAATAGAGCTAACATACATATATAGCATTTAAAGCCTTAAATATGATACAAGGAAGCAACTTTTAAATCTATGGTGGAACCCTACTGCTCCATTAACACATAAAACTATTTCTTTTTATTGTTATAGACACAGTAAGAGCCCCACTTATCTAAATTATACACACCACCCACCATAACAGAAATAGTACAACTACGTATAACTTCATATAAGAAGATTAAACATGACTATCGTAACTTGTTATAAGAGGTACAACCATAACCTATAGTAGTAATTAACGAGTACATACACAAGATAGTTGGTTTGTCTTATTCAGAAATGAAATAAGAAATAAGAGGCACAAGCATCTAAGAGCTGCTAACAAGTGATGAATTGTACATCTATCAGGTCTAACGAATACAACTAGTAATTTCTTTCTGCAAAGAAGATAAGCTTGGCAACTCAAACAAAATTTGCACAACTTTTAACAAGATATATGGACCTCCATTTTGACATTTTTATAATAGAGCTCAGGGAAGTAGGGCATGGGGGGAGTCAAATAGCTCTTTTGACCGTGTTTATCCTAAAAACGGATAACAATTGAATTTATACGCGGTTTTAAGGATACGTGATATAACTTGGCACANAGAAGATATGGAGCACATGCTTTTTAAATGTCCTTATTCAAAATCCATATGGGACCAACTGGAAAATACCTACAAATACTCAAATCAGCCACCTAATGATTACACGCTGCACAAATGGATAAAAACACAATGTCAATCCAAAGCACAGTTCAACGGATACCTCAATAAGGCCGATGCCATTCCTTTTATCCTATGGCACATCTGGTTACACAGGAATGACATAATATTCAAGAACAAAAACAATCCTCTTCAACTAGGGCATGTTGTCAGTAGCACCATTGAATACAAACTGCTCACAGATTCAAAAAGGCCGTCATGTCCTAAGATGACTTACATTAAATGGAAGCCACCAGATATGGGTTTCTTCAAACTAAACATAACGGCTCAAGCATCGGCAATCCAGGAAAGGGGGGCATTGGAGGTGTATTTAGAAATAGTGACAGTAATTGGATTCTGAGCTTCAACATGACAGTGCCCCATGCAACCAATATTTACATGGAGGGCTTAGCACTCATGCATGGGCTAAGTCTAGCGCTACAAAAAAATCTCATGCTGTTAGTAATTGAAACAGACTGCAATGATTTAGTCAACATGCTCACTAGCAATTCTTGCCTTTATCAAAACTTGATAAATGATTGCAGATGGATGCTATCTAGAGCGGGGAACAGTGACACGTGTGTTCATGGAAGCAAATGGAGTCGCCTACCTTATGGCTAAGAATGGAAGCAGCTCATCTGTTTTTGGAAATCCAATGTTGTATTTAGTTCCGCCACCTTTTGATGTTTCTACTTTTGGAAAGGACAAGCTAGGAACCATGGGTCCTAGAGTAGTCCCAATTTGTAATGACTCTTAAGTTTGCTTGAATAAATATATCCGCTACCAAAAAAAAAGAAAAAGGAGTTTTCAGCCAACTAAGTAGAAGTCTTCTCGTAAGGAAAGAAACCATCAAATTGCAGCAAGATATAGATACTAGTCACAGGCAAGTACGTATGTTATTTTTAAACAAATGCATTTGAATTATAAAGTAATCAAATTACATAAATCAATTTGTTTTCCTTCTGAGGCTTACCGATTACAATGATGGTCAAAGATTGCTAGTAAAGGTATTTAGTCCGAGAAAATGATATTACAGATTATTTTTATTGTACTCCTCTTGCTAAAGAGTTATGATTCTATCCTACCCCTTTTATATTGACGCAAAGACACTCGCAAAATATAACTTGTTCAACTTAATTAAACTCTATTGATTTACATAATCATCCATTAGATGCCAAAGGATTAAACATTCATAACAAAATTCAACTTGCCATAGCAGCTATTCAATAATGTTACTGACACTTTAGCTTTAAACCTGGAAAAGCTTCCTCTGTGATGAGTCTGTCTCCACCACCAATACAATAGGAGGGAGGGCAAAAACAGAAACAAAACTCTCTCTATATATGTCGCTGTTCACCCTGCCAACAAAATCTTAAGAGTAAAAAGACCAACATTTCAATTCATCCGGAGTGGTTGGAGGAAGGTTTTAAATTGGAATGAGTACATATATTAAAACATGCACATTTCCATCTAAAAAAAGGTCTAAGCATGTTTAGCTATTCAGCAGAGATCAAAAACCAGAGCCAGCCCTAAAGAATCACTACATACTGTGGACGCTCTTATTCACTCCTAATACTACACCACAGTGTAATATCCATTAATACATTAGAATCCAATAACTATTTAGCATTGGGTAACAGTCTCCTATCGACAACCTGAACTAGGAATCGACCTGTCTGATTCACTCCTAACACTGCATCACAGAATATTATCCATTTTAGAATCACAATATTCACACACATCAACTAACATTTTAAGATCAAGTTCAAAATTATTCGAAAAAATTGCATTTTTCAGTTTCCGAAGCAGAACACATGCACGGGCGCACATACACTAAACACGAACCTCTACCCTTCTTTACAGGATATTGACATCCAGCCTCATCAATGGAATTTCAATTGAGTGAATCCAATGGCCTCAGAAAGCTTCCATACTCCTCAGTAAATATACGCTCAAGAAGCTATAAAGAACAAAAATACAAAATTAAAAAAATAAAAGAGCAAAAATTTTCAATGAGAACAAAAACCAGGATTTCGTCTACCAATTTCAAGAACAAATGAACTGAATCTAGACTACAATTGCCTAGTTGACTCCTCAGAAATCTTTAGCAATTGGCTAAGGATGGACTTATTAAATCAGGCAAACCATCCTAGTAAAGTAATTTAACTGCAGCTATTGCTGATAGTTATAACTTAAGACGACAACATCAAACACTGAAAATAAAAAAACAAGAATAATCCTGAAAGAAACAAAGAATTAAGCAAACTGACCAAAGCGGTACCTTCTGAGATTCCTCATTCATGATTCATTGTTGCAAAACCTTACCTTTCATAACAAAAGATAGTCCACTCTTGGGATATCAATACAATAAAGTGGAGCATTATGCGTTGATTCTGCAGCCTCTGGAGCTCCAATGGCAGCATGAAGACATTCAAGAACAACCCTAGTGGCAGCCAAAACAATTACTTTTTGACCAGATTTAGCTGAGTGCAAAGTAAACCTTATATGAACATGTGGGAACATCTGACAACATACAGAGAAACTACACATGTATTCTGAGAACAACTGATGTAAGATATCGCCTAGCTATGATTTGTTAATTTTATACTCAAATAATCCCACATAATTCATTTAGGAAATGGAAATTAGAAAAGAAGAAACATCTACCAGCACAATTCAGGAACTGACTTTGAAAAATTAGGTACAATTAAAGAACCATCAAGGCGTCAAAGAACAAACACTGTTATTAAATCCTCATCCATGCAAATTGCTGGTATTATAAAGAGCACACAAGCACATAAGAGTGAAACATATTGATTAAATGCGACGAGAATAAACTAAGTTGCGAAGCCAGAGAGATGAAGCAGACCAAAGAACCAAAAAACACTGACAGGAAAGGACCCAAAAAAATGATGTCAGCAGCCTCAAAGGAAGTAACAAGAATGCAATATTATTGAAGTAAATTGATGTAACAGCCCGCGAGCAAGGGAAGGAGCCAAAGAAAGCGAGCAAATCCAGGAAGATGGACACTGAACAACAAGAAGGAAAAGAGAAAATGACGAAGATGTGACAGGCAATGCAAGTGTAAAATGGCTCATGTGACACTCCAATAAGCAGGTACGTCAGCACCGAGAACGGTAACTAAGACTTTTCAGTAAGATAAACTTTTAGGCACGGGGAAGAAACGAAAATCAATAGAAAAATGACCAGCTTTTCGGTCAATACATAGCAACCAGTGCACAGCATACAGGCCATACCCTCACAGAGAAAATTGCAAGTTCTAGAACTACCCTAGGTGAGCAAGCAGAGATGTCGACAGTAAACTCCCTGCTTTGAGGAAAATTATATCATGTGACACATACATAATTTGAAATCAATTGAGGGACAATGTAAAAAATGCTGGAACAAGAGGAATAAATGGTCCTCCAACAGTGACCAGCCAAATTACCAAAGAAGAAACACAATCCAAATAGCAAATAAATGATGCCGGGCTCAACCAGCAATCAGATTAATTTCTGCGAACACAAATTACCTGTGATCTTCAAACAGAGCTAAAGACACGATCTTTTTATTTGACAAGTAATATCTCAGTGCATTTTGTTCTACATATATAATCACTGTGACGAGAATGAGAGAGCTGCTTTGAAGATTGTAGAAGATGAAATCATATGCTAAAGAGCCACGTTAAGACGAGGATTCAGAAGAAATGTCAAAAAGTAAAAGAAAGATATTTGACATAAGAATGAAAATGGAAAGCACTGAACTATATTTCAAAGATTTCATGCCCATTACAATCTCTTACGGAAGTTAAATAAACCTGAAAATACAAAATGTAGCATTGTAACAGCATATAAAGAAATATTGAACAAAATAAACCATGGGTTACAACTTAAGAGCCGCTATTGCTTCAGACTTGAAGTCAACCCTCAAACTCAACACTCTTCTAACCTCAGCTGGAGTAAGTCTCCAGGTCATGGGTCCTGAGTTTTCACCCCAGAAATCCAGAATCTCAGAGACCTTCTCCAAGTTTAATATTGTAGCCATTTGGGTTAGACGAGCAAATTTGTCCCTAACAGTCCTCTGGGTCATGTTTGAGAAGTAGCTGACAAGAGCTCGAACATCTCTGTCAAGTTGAAGACCTCCAAGTTGACTGAATCTTTTTTGCATCATGATAACCTCAAGCCGCTTAACAATAAAGTCAATGACCAGATGCACAAGCGAGTCATAATTGTTAGCAGTCATTAATGGCTGAAGCCAAGCCACATTGCTTTCTACAGCATGGAGAAGCCTTTGAACCCATGGGTCATTTACCTCGTTGTCAGCATATTCAGATTCTGACAGCTCATAGCTGATTGTTGCAACAGTATCCAACACTGGCCGGATTCGAGGTGTCACAGTAGCCACTAGTTGTTCCAAGCCGATATTCAAGGCCTTCTTAAAACCATTGCTCATCTCATTCAATTCAGATAAACAGGATTTGACCCTCTCTCTATCTGTTGGTGCAGGAAACACCTGACAATGCAATCCAATTAAGACTAGCAAAAGGAATAAGGGTAGCAAAAAAGAAAGAATAATCTAATAAATGTAATTTCTGCATAGGATTTGAGGTTATAATTCAATCTGAAGGTAATCTCAAAAAGCACAACCAGTTTAACATTCAAAGATTAAAGGCAAGAGATGAATGTAACAGACAATCATTCTAGACAAATTAGATATTCAGCGACCTTCTATCAAAATTTGGAATACTATCCCGGCTGCAATTTGGTGGTGCATCTGGAAAGAGAGAACTGATAGGTTGTTTGATAGTAGGAAGAACAGAGTCATTGATATCAAACACAACTGTATTGTTTTGCTTAGTTTTTGGTGTAACATGTACATACTTCTGACCCTTGTGCCATGATTGACTTTATTAGCACATTACACAATTTGTAATGTTGTTTTTTTTTTCTTGTAACCCATTCAGCAACTTCTTCTTGCTGGTTTTATTATATNCAACAGAAAATCCTTTCATAATTCAATGTCCAATTTACTTATCACCCAGAAAAACAAATAAATACACCAAAGAAGTACTAGCATACATGAAGGCGAGCAACAAAATTACAGCTTTACTTATTCGCCTCTTAAAAAGCAGATGTCATATTCAAAAACTAGATTAACATTAAACAATACGAAGGATCAATACATGAATTTAGGACCAACCTCAGCACATTGTTCTTCAATCTCATGCCGTAGTTTCAATGCATACTCACTGCTCACATCCATATTATTCAAAGCCGTGGCGATCTCCGTACCAGTCTTTTGCACAGCGACGCCACCAGTGAACAGCTTTGCTCCAAGATTAGGCTCTCTGACCTTCTGCTGCAAAGCCTCA